AATACGCTACCTACTTGGAAGCTTTCTCGTTTCTGACACAGTCGCCTATGATTATGAATAACATTTAGCGTGAAATCTATTCGTGAGAATTCCATCATCACAATTTCTAACAGAGTGGTACGAATATCGAGTTTCTCATATGTTTGACTTCAACATTCAACTGTGTACAAAGTGACCTATAATAGAACTGATGGTTTCTATTCTACCATGATTTGACTGAAAATTCCATCGTCTTATCGTGGTTGTGGTAATTTCCTATAAACCCCACAAATCACAAGCGCCACATAGTGAGGAAATAATGTTATTAACAATTTACCTGCTAGGATCGAATTCTGCGAAGAAAGCGCAGTAGATCATCGCTCTAATTTTTTTATTGCAAATAATTTTGCAGTTTTCCACATGATTACGTATTTTTTTATAACACCCATTGGGCCGGTAAACATAGGAGATGGGATTTAAAAAAACTGCGGTATAAATTAATTTTTGAACCGCGTAATTAATAATTACTGTAACAATTATTTGGCTCTGGTCTTAATTAATCAATCCAAGGCAGTCCCGTGATGGATTATTAATTAATAACCAACCTTGAACAGAGTGCAAGTAAAAGTCTAGAACTTTGGCAAGGATCCACGTGGCTTCTGTTATGGGATATTTGGTGCTTTTTTTAATTAGATTAAGTTACGGTGCGAGGGATAAACACCAGCAAAGATATTTGTACGTTTGGAATAATCAAGTTGAAAAAAGATGGAGGTTAATTATTTTAATTGACAGAATCTTCTTGTGGTGTCACTACTAAATTTAGCACGCCCTTTGGGTTATCAACCAGTCGTATTTATAGCCACAAAAAATGGATTGCGGGGAACCCACTTCTTCATGGCTATCTTTGAAAAACAAAACGTTAATTACAGTTGATTTGGGAAATATTGATTTTAATTTCGTATAGCATGAATAACATTACTATTTTTTACGTTGTTTAGCTTGATAATTTTTTTTATGTAATATTAATTTATCCACAATTACCTTTATCCACACGTATGAACCGATTAAAGTTTTACTTTATCCCCTACTGGAATAAAGTAACTTTATTTCACTAATAGAATAATGAAAAAATAATAAACCTATATAGTGGAGTCAAGATAGCTTAAAATTATGCATTATTTCAAAATAATTATGGGAAGCATGGATTTTCCTAAAACCTTTTGAAATTACTTGGAGATAAGTATTAGAAAAAAGTTATAAACTTATTTTTGTACGCTAATTGTTTTTTAATTGTTTAAACAATAATAAATAATTTTTTTAATAACATTTTAAGTAATTCAGTGAATTTTAAATCGAATTCTTTCAAATTGACACTGTAGCAGTTGCGCCCCCTAGCTGTGAAGTTACAAACTTGAAAATATTTTAAATCAATTTATTTTGGTCGTATTTACTAATAGATTTTTTACCCCATAATCGAAGCACGTCTAGTTTTCTATACACAGAAGCTCGATACTGTCATTGGATCACCCTGTATATATATTAGACTTATGTCTATGTCTACATCAATAAGAGAATTTATATTCACAATTTCAGATACAGAATATATGTTTTAAAAATGAATATTAAATCAATTCATCAAAAAACGTTATGTTTTTGCTGTTATAACAATTTTCCACTTATTACTATAAATAAAAAAATATTTTTCGCTGGATTTACTTTCTTTAAGGACTTAACTTAATTCTTTGATTCTTTGACAAAAAAAATTCTTTTGTACATTATTAAACTTTATTTAACAATATTCACGGATTTTTCATGAAATATTTTTATTTTTTGTTTTTTCAACTATTATTTCAATTTTTTAAGAAAAATAAAATGCACCATCTTAAAGTAGAGATTTTAAGCTTTAAAAAGTGCTACTTTACAGTTGGCAACTTTTTATATGTTATTTCTGACAACTTTACAAAGCGAAAAATAAAAAGTTCTCTCTTCCAGTAATATTCGCGAAGTCAAAATCTAATTTGACTCCACTATATGGGTGAAACGTTGTAACGCGCTTGTGTTTTAATTGCCTTTCATCCACTTAAGAATATTAAACATTCTTGCGTGGATAAAATGCTACTTAAAACACTTATACAATAAATAACTATAAAGTACCATAAAAACCACCCTAAATTATGTGGCAAAACTTTTCTATATAGAAAAGTCTCTCATCTAAAAGTATTTCTTCCCCACTTAATATTATTGGTCCATATAGGATCAATATAAGGGTGTGCTATTATTAGAAATACGTTGGTAATTTCATGGGTCAGTAAAGTTTAAAGATACTAAAATCTAATTCAAATATGTATTTAAAAAAATGCCCTTAAAATATTGTCAAATAAAGTGAAACCATGTTCTTTGGTACAAAAAATCTAAATATGCGTGTTCATCTCTGTCAAAGGTGACGAGAGAACAACAAAAATACAAAATATCTGTTTCAATGATTACATCATTTAACAATATCAGGTACGTGTTTTTGTATTAATTACACTGGTACACAAAACAAAAAAAAATGGTCCCAATAGGCTTTATGTATTTTGACGAGCTCTATTTTACAGTTAACAAATTTTTTCTGGATTTTCTGGGCAGCATAAATTTGCCACTTACTATCACTTCTTTCGAGTTACATTTTTATTATTCTACACACCCTTCCTCGTCATAAAATGTCTGCTAATATTTTTTTCTAGTTTTCAGGTTTTATGAAAGATAAACCCTTTTCAAAGTAACACCCTGTATGTCGGAAACGCAAAGTTAACGAAAAAAACGTTGTTGTACTCACCCCCCAAAACTTCTGAAGTATAAACTTGGCAACGTTGTATATAAAAAAATTAACGTACTTAGTTTTTAACGCAAGTATTTGCTAAATCTATAATTATAATAATTTCCTAAATCGACTTACAATTAGTCACGATATGCGGTACGAGAACGAATCATCGTTAGATGATTCGTTCTTTTATCATAATTTCAAAAAGTCATATGTATTATGTACTACACCAGATACAGAAAGCACAGACAATATAGCTTATCGCCAATATTGTCTGTGTAGAAAGGAAACGACAATATATTGCGGAATTTACATTTCCTCTTGTGTTGGATATTTCCTTACTTCAACCAACAAATAGATAATTTCAGGAAATAAAATAGCAACACGATGCACAGTTTTTATATGAACAAATATTTCGTACAATAATGTCCATGGATTCTCTAAAATCGTAAATTAATACGTAATATTTATGTTTATATTTAAAAAGAATTAGATATAAATATTTTACAAATAACGTTTCAGACAATATGTATATAGAAAACTAGACGTGCTACGATGATGGGGTAAAAAATATGTTAACAAATACGGCCAAAAAAAATTGATTTGAAACATTTTTACGTTTGGAACTTTACCGCTAGAGGGCGCAACTGCTATAGTGTTACTAGAGTCCCTAGAATAACAGAGTCTGGCCAGTCAACCGGTTTGCCCTTCAAAATGGCGGCCGCTTGGCCGCTATACGCAGGCGCGGGCTTTAACAGCTGTTTACAGTTGTAACGGCTGTAAAATCAGTGAAATTTATTCTTTCGCATTATTTCCCTGTAAAAAAGTAATGGATAATACAGATAATATAGAAATAAATCCATTTATATATAATATGCATCTATTGATTTTAATTCAATATTATAAATCACCAATTTACCCTTATTTATTCCAATTAATTTTTATTGTTGATTTTTATGAAAATAATAAAAGTTTAATCAATTTATTTTGAATCGTATAAAAATATTTATTGTATAATTTTATTTATCATTATGAAATAGGTATAACATATTTTGAAACTCAATTGTAAAATAAATGTATTGCATACATTGAGTTTTTTTATTCTTAAAAATTATCCACTAAAAATCCGAAAAAAAATTCCACTTGATTCGTTTTTGTATTCTGATTTTGTATATCCTACGTATAAAATTGCAATATATCATTCATTACATTGAATTTACTCGCTTACTTGCTTATTTACACTAATAAACGTTATTAAACACTTGAGCATGAACGATCAAATTTGAAAGTTGACGTTTCCCGCTGTGCTCTGGAATTGGTTCCGCCATTAATGAGGGCACTTTACCAACGACCAATCCGCGCTCGCGATAGCCGTGGCCAGACTGTTATTCTAGGGACTCTAAGTGTTACAGAAATTTCGCTTATATAACTAAAGTTGAAAATACACTTTTTAGATACACTGTTAAACCCTTCACAAGTTTTGTCTGAAGTTTTGTTTTGTTATTACCATAGCAACACCAGTATGAAGGACGCCATCTTGAAATTTTTATTTTCTCATAACTTCTAAATGGATTAATCAATTTCAAGAAACGACGGCTCATTTTAAAGAACCATTAATAAACCTATATCGTTGCAATTAATTTTTTTAGTAAACGGAGACAATTACAAAACTTTCCTGATTAGCCTCGTCTACCGTTGCGCAGGAAAATAATATTTTTATTCCCATATCATAAATATAAATTTTATTAATAGGTCTTTCAAATGAGTCGTCGTTTCTTGAAATCGATTAAAGCATTTAGAAGTTATGACAATTTAAAAATCTCAAGATGGCGTCCATCATACTGGCGTTGCTATGGTAATAACAAAAAAAATTCAAACAAAACTTGTGCAGGATTTAACAGTGTATCTAAAAAATCAGTATCTGTCACAATTACATATGTATATTTTTTTAGTTTAGTAAACATCCACCTAAAATATCGCGAAATAAAACTGTAATCAATTCTTCAAATTAATAATTTTTGTAGGTATTTATAAATTATGTGTTCATCAGGATCACTATCTGTTTTAATATACTTTCCTTGCCAATTAAAAAATTCTAATTACGGCCCTGATCAGGGCATCCCCATCCAAGGTCACCTAAAACGGTCGAATGAGATCAAAGCGCCGACACTCTTGTTAAGGAAATAAAATAAGTATATAACTGTTTTTGGTTTTTCAGGTGAATGTAACGGTGTATTATGAATCTCTCTGTCCGGATTCGAGAAAATTCTTCACCCAACAGCTGTACCCTTCGCTACAGACCAACCTATCCAACTTTGTAAACTTAACACTTGTGCCATACGGAAAAACTAAGGTCAGTATTAACACAAGAAAAGTCTAATGTTAGTTTTACAAAATAAACGATTTTTTTGCGTAACTTTTTCGTTTGAAGTCTCGCGAATTATACAGGGTGTCCGTTTTTCGAGTGGCATTATCGAGATCCGGGTTATCTTAAGACACAAAGTCGTACAATGAAAGAGAAAATCTACGTTTTTCCATTTTCGATTAAAAAAAATAAAAACAAAAAGTATCAGTTCCTCGTTCTAAGATAAAAAAATATAAGGTAAAAAGTTATAATCAAATTTTCCGCAAGTCTGTTCTAATTCGACACACCCTGTATCATTTTTGTTGACGTCATCTTCGTTATTTTAAATGGAATACCCTGTATACCATTGCAATTTTGGATTCTACGTCAATTTTTAGGTGAACTTTCATAAAGGTTTCCTATTCTTAAGGTTAACCGTTTTTTTTTTTCAAAAGAAATTAAAAAAGCACCGCATAATTCAAAAAGATGTGAATATTATTTTACAAAAATTGTATGATTGCAAGTTAACGAATAAATTTAATTTTGGCTTCATAGTAGGCACCAAAAAAAAAAGAATGGTACTAGAAACGAGATGAACAGATACCTATAAAAAAGAAACTTGGCCCCACTAGGTCACCTTTAGAAAGTAAGCCGGCACATGCCAAGTTTTCCTGTTTTAGTTTTAAATATTTTATCTTCATTAGCGGATGAAATAACTGTTGAAAGGCGTCACTGCATGAATTTAGATTCCAAATTCCAAGATATGAGTAAAATCGGTTTATAATAATGGTAATTTTGCCAATTAACAGACAACGCTTAATATTGCTGGCTGATTCAGCGAATTCTGATGTCACTTTTCTGCCACACCCGCACAATTTACGATTACTAATTAGGCCAGGAAAAAAAAACAATGATAATAAATGAAGTAAACGGTAGTTTGATGGGAGCCTAGAGATTTGTTAATTGAAATTAGATGGGTACGGCGAATTTCGTGCTTTTGCCCACCGTTCCCACCGTATACAGGGCGGACAAAGGAACTAACACGAACATGAGGTCACGTCGAATAGTGGCAGCTCTGGAGGTTCAGGAGGAGCTTGGTTTTTGTGATTTTGTGACAAAAAAAATATATTTATCAATTTCTTTTTAACATTTTTTTTTATATTTAACATTTTTAATGAAAAAAATATGGATTATTGCGGAAAAAAACAATTTCAATTAAAAAAAATGAATAAATATTCATTATTTGTAAAGTTACCTCAAGTTTAGTGAAAATCCTTAAATACGCAATTTTTTACCTTGTTTTGAATAAAGTTCCTTGCATCGAAAATATTTTTTTTATAGAAAAACGCTAAAAACGCCTTATAGAGAATACTTTGAAGTTTTCTAAACTCTGCTTAGATTTTTTGTACGATCATTAATTCCCGAGTAATTTATTATCGAAGCCAAAAAGGTCATTTTTGCTTTGAACGGCAATAAAAGAGTTGACTTTGCGAAAAGAATATATTGACCTTTCGATAGGGAAGCAGAAATTTTTTTTACAGTTAGTTTATTACGATTCCTTTAAGGTGGCCAACGTTAAAAATATTTGACTTTCATTTCCTGAAGCTAGAAACTACGTTTCAATTTGATATATTTTTTTATTAAGCTACGATAATTTTTCGCCAAGTTACAGTCATTTGAAAATCACCTAAAAATGTTGGATTTTTTTATCCTTTCGCGACCAATGTACAGGGTGTCCCACCGGGAACTGTGTCGATCGATATCTAGAAAAGTACTCAGCACTTCAGGTTATACCGGAAGTCGACACCAACTTCGTTATTTTAAATGGAACACCCTATATATTATTGCATTTTCGGATTCTACGTGAAAATATCACTGGAAATTAAAATTTTTCTATATGCATAAAAAAACGTGGGCTTAACTTTTGGCGGCACAATATGTTAAAAAAATTCGAAATATTTCATATTTTTCTTCCTATTTAATTACGTATCTTTTCAATAGTTGATTTTAGGCGAAAATGGAAGAGGAAAAAAATTTTTGTAATTAATTTTACAAATCGAATGAATCATGATTATTATTTTAAAAATCGAAAAAATGCCAAAAATGGCCAAAATAAAGCAGGTTTTAAAAGTTACTGGAAAAACGCTTCTTAAAAAAAACAGATCGATTGGTCAATTAATTACGTAGTTATAGCCCATCAAAGTTAACCGTCATTTACATTAAATGTACTGGGACATACGGGCTAATTTTTTTAAAAAATACCTTTGGTATTCCGAGTACTTACCAGGTCTAAGTTTGCAATACTTTTCTTCATTGGCAACCTACTTTAAAACGTGTTTAAAGTTATTTACGTAAGCGAGAAATTTAAGAAAATCGTACGGGTGGTGGTGGTGGGGGAAGCAGAGAGCGCGGCCTCTTCGGCCTGCTCGAAATTGAATCGGCTATAACTATGTAACCAATTGATCAATCGTTCTGTTTTTTTAAAAAGAAGCGTCTTTCCAAGAACTTTTAAAACCTGCTTTAAAAAATTTGATTTGATTGAATATTCACAAAGTTCTAATTGTTTATAAGTACAAAAATTCGACCAATGTTTAAACAAGCGCCAGAGCTCTCCTAATTGACGGATTCGAATTTTTCAAAAAAAGTTTGAAAGCTTGAGAGCCCTTCTATATGTGATTAAATTTTCAAGTATCTAAGGGCCTTGGTTTTTGCTGTGCAAAATTTTGAAAATTTGCAATTTTTTTTTCAAAATCTGGATTGCAAAATTATTATGCAAAATCTATCGAACCGATTTTGATGAAATTTGGTGTGATGATTCTACATAACATGAAGTTTTCTTGAGCCAAGTATAAAGGTCCTACACCCAATTTAAATACACCAAAAAAATTCCCTAAAAAGTATTGTTTTTTAACCCCATTTTTGTGATTTTTTCGATTTTTACCATAATAATCATGATTCATTCGATTTGTAACTAGTCATGTTTTGTAAAAAATTTAATTACAAACATTTTTTTCCTCTTCCATTTTCGCCTAAAATCAACTCTTGAAAAGATACATACTTAAATAGGAAGAAAAATATGACATTTTCCGAATTTTTTTAACATATTGTGCCGCCAAAAGTTAAGCCCACGTTTTTTTTATGCGCATAGAAAAATTTTCATATTTAGTGATATTTTAAAGCCAAAAAGGCAAAAATCTCCGTGGATATACGATTCACCCAAATATGGACTCTTTGAAACAGATACCATCTGAACTATTAACACGCTTCCACGAATAAAATATTTTTATCAGGGAAAGTTGTCGGGTTGCCGGTTATGACAGTATTTTTTTTTGCTGTTACCAACCTAATTTGTTTAACAATAGGCCGTCAACTTGACAGTCTGTAACTCCGTTGTATTTCAACGAATCTTGACGATATTTTTTTTAACTTAAAGCTCTTTTCATAAGCTTTCCGAATATATAATAATATACAGGGTAGCCCATCGAAAACGTACCGCAAGGCATTACAGGGTAGTAAAGAACTTTTCGGCAAAATCCAAAAACAGGTAAAATTTGTTTCTGAGGGGGACAACTTTTGGCTCAAAAAGCATACCAAAATCTTCAACCCCCTAAGTGGGGGTGCTATCCCCTAAATTTTTTCAAATGGGAATGGGGGTCAAGTGGGGGGTCATTAGAAAGGGCTTTTAATTCTCTATACATCGATTCTTACTTTTTGAAAATCGATTCATTATTTTAGAAAATATGCAGCTTTGAAAATACGAACAATATTTTTGACGAGAAATGCGAAAATCGATTTAATTTTACTTCAAAACTTACGGTATTAGTCAAGTAAATGCTGAAAATGTTGTCCGCCAACTTGCATACAAT